GGAAATAAATTCAGTAACGATAGCGTAATGAATTGTATTTATTTAATAGACTTGAAATCCGCCACTCGCGAAAAGTATAGCACTCTCGATCATAATCAAATGCGGCCTATGACGCGGAGTGCGCGGCGATGAATGATTACAAATGGTCGGTGGGGAAAACGTTTCCCGGATAGTCTATGAAATCCGAAACGCTTTTGAAATGTCACGATAAAATGGCAAACAACGCGAAACATCCGGCAGCGAAAACGTTATACCCGAGCCGGTCAACGAAGAATGCACTCATTTGGGTTTTGTACGGCGTGCGAGAACTGAAAAAAAAAAATAGAGGAGGGAATAAACGCCGCGTGTAGAAAATTGTCGGTACATGCTTCGGTGCTTCGTAAAATACAGCGGCCGACCGTAACGATGTAACCGCTTGCTCGATAATTATCGACGCTCTGAATTTGTCTATAGTTTCGCAACACGGTCTTTTATCCGACCCGTTGTGTTGTCGAGCAAAACGAGAAACACGGCATGTGCAAATCGTTCACGAATCATAGCACAAATTTTATACACGCACATACACAATAGAACACACTCGCTCATTTAACGTTATACACGGCAACTTTTTACGAATTTATACCATTAAATTCTAATTATAAGCGCTGGTGTATGTACAGAGATACAAAAAGATTCTATTAATTAAAATTAAAATTAATTTGCTCAATATTTCTACATGTCACTTTTTTATTTCGATCGATCATTTTTTTGATTGGCTTATCGCTCGATAACGTTACGTCGTTCTCTTTTATTCGCCATTTTAATTTAGCTACTACGAGCGCGCTCGACGGATGAGAATTGTGAGGCGCCTGAATGAATCATTGTGCCGAAAATCGTGGGCGTTTAATCGTCAAAGGGACCAACCGTATGCGCGCGAGCGCGACATAAGAATAGATCCTGGATTCAGCGGATCCCGCGCGGAGGATTTTCGTCCCATTCGCACGGAAACCCAATTGCGCGGCTCTATGCGTCATTAGCGCTGGGAAACGGAGTTAACGCCGTTAAATCCGGGTTCGGTCCAGCCACGGTATTATTCGCACTTGCGCCAACCGTTCGTACGTATGTTCAGTCGTATGTGTCTCGCAAACCGCGTCGCCGCTGCGCGAAATGACGACCTCTCATGCGAAATACGAATAAATGATCGTTCGTCCTGACTAACTCGATTTCCGTCGACGAACTGCATACATTTTTTTTGTCACTCACATTGCCCGTCTCTCATCCCAATCGCCATTGCCTCTTTTCTCGAGGCCTTTTCCGCAACGTTTTCATCTCGAATACTGATTTAACAGTCATCGGAAAATTATCGCAGTGCAGCAATTATCGTGAATTTTTATCGTTCAACAAATTCGGCGATACAAAATTGTTTTCGCAGTACACACACACATCTAAAATTTTATAACTGATTTTTATTCTTGTCAACGAATTCAATTCATGGCGAATGTAAAAATGATACGCGTCGTACTCTTGTAACAGCGATTTGGAAAAGTCTTGATAATCGCGATCCGAATTAAGCGTTTTATACGTCGTGTTAGAGACAGAGGTGAACTTCTTATTTCTCTTTTGAATTTACTAGCAAGAAATTTTATTTTCCTCTGGTTTTATTAATATTGAATCTCATCGCTTTATCAATATTTTTCAAACATTCATGGCTCGTTCTCGAATATCTTCGATCTCTAATGAATAAAAATTGGGTCGCTGGCTTGATGCAAAATGAATTGCTATATAAATAGGAAGAATATTTGCATGTTTTCAAATCGCATTCTATATTACATTTATACACATAAATGAATTCTGTGGATAATATACAATATAAACAAATAAATAATACGGTGAGCCACTAAATAAATTATACTTTATATTCCATAAAACAACTTTTTATATTTATATTATGCGCGTTCTTAAAATTTTTATTTTATTGTACTGATCCTGTTATCCTTTCCGCTCGACCTGCATACATATAAGCCCTCTAAAAGAGTTCTTAAAATGTTTATTTTAATTGTACTGAAAGATTCAGTTAATCTTTTCGCGTATATATTTACCCTCAAAAGTTTATTTGCGAAGAACGCATATATATGTACATTCATACATTATATTCAATTTATTGTATTTATTCTTGTATTTTTATTTTGTGCACATAAGGTATTGCTGTCACGTACATAGCGAATACTTTCAATCTCAAACGCGCCATAACGGAAGGGTTAAATATGTCAAGATAATTTGTTCGCGGATACATACATAAGTATACATATTGTTTACGCGTCGTGAATTACAGCCGCATTATATCCGCCACATTAACAAATTGCTTTCTCACTAATTGAAAGATTATATCAGCCGCGGATCATAGTCTGCGGATACAAAGGATAGTTCGTTGAAGTAAATACAAATATCGTACGAAGTAATACCGTTGTTTGCTTGGTGTTTCAGTTTTGCGTTTACAATTAATTAATTTGTCCGCTGCATGCGCCGTAATTAACGTAAGTGCCTGCGTCCAAATCCAAAATGCGTCGACGAAGTAAATTCAAAATAATACAACTAGCGTGACGTTACAATAATTCGTTCGTTTCGGTTCATTTTACGACAAAGAGTGACTGGTGAACACATTTGACACTTGTACAATACATTATAGGATTCTCTTACAATATGTAAATACATCGCCAAGTTTTCGTGAGAGTTTTATTTTAAGTTTAATCTAATATCTCTCTACTCTCTACGAAATTCGAAATTATCACCGGTGTCACGTTTGCTCGCGTTTGCATAACGGATATTCATTTTATTCTACGATGTTACCACGCCGTCTTAACGCCGTAATTTTCCTCAGACGCAGCACAAATTAAATTGTTACTTCTCTTTGTATTCTCTCTGCTTTACTCTAATCTTCATTTATTAACTAAAATACATGTAGAAGTAACTTAAACACAGCTGATTTAGGATATAAGTGAATTAAATATTGCAAAGAGATTATTCAATCAATAATAACGTGCTTGCGATAATATTATTCAACGCAGAAAACTTATTACAAGTCTGGGAATGAAGGTAACGTGAATATTAACGAGAGATACTTTATTCGTTGAAATTACAATTTCTCGATATTCTAAAATTTTCAGAGAGTTATCAAGTTAAACGCATAATAAGATGCGCTTTACGTCATTTTGCAGTACTCTACTTGCCCAAAGTACAATAACGACAAATCCAGCTGACTCGCCAAGTTGTTCACAATCGAGCAACGAGAGAGAGGCTCGCGCTTTTGTATATAAGAAACTATCATTCGCATTTTCAATACCATCCGCGTCTCATCTCCGACCAAGACGGTGGAGACACGATGAGGCTTTAAGTAATATCGATATCGACATGAAAAGGCGAGTACCGGACGCGGCAGAAGGAGAAAAACGCACGAAAGCGTGACAGAAACGAGCGAGCGTCGCGAATGCATCGATATTGAATTGAAAATGGATCGTACGGGTGAGGTAGAGAGGAAGGTGAAGGGAAAGAAAGAAGGATGAGAGACGGAAGGCTCATAGCTCGACGATGCGGCGAAAATATAATTCGCGATCCGTACATAAACATTCTCCGCGTTCTCTCTCTCTCTCTCTCTCTCTCTTTCTCTCTCCGTCCTGTCCTCCGCTTTTTATCCCCTTTTGCTTATCCATCGCTTATAGATCACGAGAGCTTGAAAATGCAGTTATCGCGAAACCTCTTCGAGACGATTACGTGCGACGTTTTATTAATTTTTTTCCGGTGCTTCCTCTCCCTTCCTCGCATCCGGCCAAATCAATTTTCTCTACATCCGGCTCGATTTCTGCCTCAGCGAAATGCTTTTTCCTCATTCTTTTGGTGCATTTAACTTACTCCCTTCTTGTCGACCGCGATAATAGAACGCGCGCCCGCTCGGGGGACGGCGCGGTGTAATGCTTTTTATTAAGTTTCCTCGATAAACGTACCACTTGACTGTCGCGGATGCGACTTGGCGACCTGAGTCTTCGGGGAGTTTTCCTTTACGCCGAGCTGCGCACGAGACCATTTAGAGAGATACAGGATTATTAATTTTATGAACACTCAAAGGAAAAAGGAAATTTAAGCGAAATCTATTTGATGTTTCAAAAGAAAGAGAGAGAAGAATGCTTTTCTTTTTTCGTTATATACAATTTGTTTTTACTTTTGACGAAGTTGCAATATAAATTTGTGATACGTAATATAGCTGGACGACATAGAAATTGCTTCATGAAAATATATTTTTTAAAGGAAGCAAATATATATTTCAAATAATATTTAAATAAAAACGTATCACATTTTTTTCCTAAAACCAATTGCTATTTTTTCGTCAACACGACGCGATATAATTAAAACGAAATTCTTGCTCATATAAATATTTGTCTCTCTCTTAAATTTTTCTGTCCAAGCGTGTTTACTATTCGAGCACAAGAGTTTCAGATATTTCATTACGACTTATATTCCGAGATAAATATAAAAATGTTTCCCGCTCCGTGTATATATTTTACTCTTGCGTGCATAAATCAGAAAAGAATCTCGACATATACAACTCTTCCAGATTAATTTAGGTTAAAGTAATCACACAAATTCGGATATGTCGCATTTTATCTCGAATCGTGCACGAGATTTTGTTCAACGCGATCGCAAAATCGAATAAGTAGTAAAAGCATATTTTGGTCAGACCGAGATATTCATGTATCTCTCATTACGAGTGTATGCCGATGTTTGACTTACTTAAATCACAGGCACAATTAGAACATGTCTCGAGTAATAAGAATATAATTATTGTTAGACATTGAGGTCGTGAAAAAAATTCGGCGAGAGAGAAATAATTAAAATTAATAAATATTTATTACAAGATACGCATACATTGAAAAAGAAATATATCTATTCAAGTATTCGAAGCATATGATCTACTTTGTTGGACATGTACATATCGCCGTGACTGACAAGATCATTTTCCTTTGTTGCAGGCATTTCTGGAAATGGCGGACGAGAATGCTGCAGCGACCATGGTGACCTATTACGCTTCCGGCATAGCCCAGCTCAGAGGCAGAGCGGTCTACGTGCAGTTCAGCAATCACCGTGAACTCAAGACGGATCAAACGCATTCTAACAACGCGGTCAGTAGCCCAACAAATGATGTCGCCAACACTTCTGAGGTCTGTGTTATACTTCTTGCTTCACTTCTTTCTTGCTTCATTAATCTCGGGGGGAGGGGGGGTTGGGTGCAGCTGCATGAAAACCACTACGCTCGCTAGACTAACTTTCAACCTTTCCCTAACGCACGCTCGCTTTCTTTCTCTTTTTTCTCTTTTTTCTCGTACACGACGTATGTATAAAAACGTTTTAAAGTAATATGGGAAATTATTAAACGGTTACATACGTCGAAGTTATCGTCGAAATAGCGTACTCTGTTAATGCGACTTTCGCGTAAATAACATTGACGTTTTGATAACGCTACATCTTTTCATTCTCACTTTTCTGAAGCAAGAGTATACTACATCGCCACATATGTTACGTCAATGACAGTGATTTCGATGCCTCGAGGCGTTGACCGAAAATGTCAAACGTGAGATAGCGATTCGTGTTGGCCTCGGTACAATAGATGTAAACTGCAAGGGTTAGATCGGCGAATCTAACCGCGCTTCGGTAACGTGTTATTTATGCAGACTAGTTAATTAAGCCACAGGTCCCTTACACATATCCTTGCCCGACTATCGAGGTAACATTCAACGCATGGCGCGAGGGAAGGAGGGAGATAAGGGGGAGGCAGAGACGGCCATTTCGCCGTCAAGTCAATTTAAACACACACTCGCGTCCGCAAACTCCGTTATAATTAATGTGTCCATAATTTATGAACGATCCCTTGGGCGCGAGCGCGGTAGTGCACCCCGGCTGCACACATTCCACTCCCTTCTCACCCCTTGTCTTCAGCGTGACGTGCACTGTCTGTCACGCATACCACTCGAAACTTGCGCGTGTCATCGTGCGCCGACCGGTCATCATTGGAACTAGTTAACTCGCTACGCAATTCGTAGCCCCGCGGTCGTTTCCAATGAAATTTGTCGGCGAATTAATTAGCATGCTAATTCGCCGGCGACTCAATTAACGGAATTCTATCAGAGTTTCGCGCGAGGCATTGAATGAAAAAGTACGCACGTTATTACACTCGGCTCAATCGCGATATCTTTCCTTTCTTCTTGAACATTTTTCATAAAGTAATTTTGTTTATCCAACCCACGTGAAACGTTTCCTCTCGTAGATATATCCGAACGACGATTTTGACGAGCGAACACAACGCGTCATTTTTTTCTCGCGGAAAATCGTGCGATGCCGATATTAACCATCCCCGTCAATTCGCCAAGTCCGTTGACGTCATAATTTCGTAAATTCTTCGATGCCACCCCGTGTCGATTCACCTCCCTTATCTCTCCTTCCCTCCCCTCCCCCCTCCGACTTACCAAACTGTCGGTTCCGTTCTCGGGGGACGCAACTTCGCAGTGGAAACGGACACCGATCCCACGGGGAATCCATCGGGAAAGTTTCTCGCGTGTGTATCGGCGGGGGTCTGCACGAAAAATAATAAATAAGGGAGTAAATGGCACACGGCGACGCGCGTCGTCGTCGTCATTGTCGTCGTTGCCGCCACCGTCGATGTTCTTTCTTGAGCGGAAAGTTTTCGCACACGTGACCGTGGAAACTTTACAATTTACAGAGTTTATGGAACCGCACGACGCGCCACGATTTCGCTCGCCGAGGAAATTCGTAACTCCCGTAGAAAATTCCCGCACGCAAGTCTCACGTTATCCCTTGCACATGCGTGTCGCGACGTCGTCTAGTTAAGAGTGGATGCGATCGTAAAACAAGGGGAAGAATTTAAAGCAGTTTTTTTTTTTCATGTGTAGTTTTTACCATACACTTTTTTCATACGCCGATTTTATTTCCGACAAGAGTTGAAGTCGTTTTCAACTTTTCTTCGTGAAAAAAATTTAATTTGCGTCGTTTATTTTTAAAATCTCTCTCTCTCTCTCTCTCTCTCTCTCTCTTCGAGATACACATTAAATATATCTGAAAGTAAATTTTATTATGAGATAATATTCACTTTAAGCATTTAAGTATGTTTACTAAATTGAATTTGCTCCTGCTTGCTCATTCTCTCAATATTAAATGACTCGTCGATTTAACTTCAATTTAAATATTTAGTAAAAGAAAATCAATCGCACGAGTTCCATTGGAAATATAAATTTCTCTACAATTTGTGTATATCTCTATATATTCTTATATTTGGAGTCGTATATATCTCTCCAAGTATTACCGAAGTAATATTGAAAGATAAGATTATATTGGAATAACGTGAAAATTTTTGATTGTGGTTGTAAATTTTCTTTAAGATAGAATTCAGCGCATGGAGAAAATATTATTTCTATATTGCTGATTTATTCGAGAATAAAAGCTCTTCAATTTTATTCTCTCACTAAAATTTAATTTGTTTTCCATTTCTCGGCTAAGCCAAAAGCTTTGGATACAGTTAATAAAAAATACATTACTTCAAGATATTTTATCAAACCATAATTTTATATTGACAGTTTATTTTTGCGGTTTTAATATTACTTTTAACTTTAAATCTTATTCGCCAATAATTGCTAACTCTAGAAGTTTATATTAGTTAAATGCCACTCGAAAGCGACATTAAAATGATTCTTGCATTTTTCTCGTGAACGCGACGGCATTTCTGTGAGGTAGATTCAAAGATAGCCGGCAGAGGATTTTTGGTTTCTCGGCGAGAGTTCGCTCCCTCTACGGTCGAATGATTTCTCACCGTGCGTCCGGGCTGACAAACGACGCCTAAAAAGCAATCGCCGTGAAAGCCTTGGCGATGCACCTCTCGTGCAGTCCGCGACTCTACGTGGGCGACGATAATGTCGGAAATTTTGCGAACCGAACGCAAGACGAATGTCGCACATCTAAGCGATGTTGCTCTCCTCCCGAGGGCTCTCGCTTCTCAGGGAAAAGAAATCAATTTTACATGAACGAGGAAACATACACAAATCCGCGACGGTGTCAGTCGTGCCTTTTACTTACGATTAAAATATCGTCGTGCATCTCTCCGACGAACGGTGTCTGATTTATGCGAGTCGAAGAAGCTCTTTGTCTTTGTATAAGTTTACGAGATTTATGCAATTTACATAAATCTAATAAATTCTCAATAATCTTCATTTTTAATCTTGATATTTTGGTATTAGCGTTTTCTCTTTTTTATCTTAATTTTAGTTTTTTTTCTATATATGAAAATTTGAGCATTGCTTTTCTCATCGATTGTATACATTTTAAGATATCGATTACTCGAGATATAATAATAGAATACGGATTGAGCGAAAAATAAATAGGCGAAGGTGGTTAGAAGAATCCAAAATTCTTAGCGAAAGAGACCGAAAAAGAGAATATACATATTTATGGCACGCAGTTAATATAACCATCTCCTCGTCTTCCTCTGGGAGTAATGTGTCGGTTAAGTAAACGCCCGACCAGCGAACTCATTTAATAAAGAAACTGCGCACCGCGGCACCCTGGCATTGTTTAGTAATTAATTTAGAGCCCGGCTTAACCGACCCCGGAACGCGTAGCCGCGGTCTTTACAGCAGGAGAATGAGCGAGATAAAGATAGATATTTTTCGGATAATGAGTTATAAACGAGGGGAGACGTTACAATGTATATAGTGGAGCCCAAAAATGGATTATTATCAAGACTGATCTAATTAAAGTCAGACTAAATCTCATTGAAGTAAAGTAGTTGCGAGCAATTAGACGTTTTTAATTACGTGCTTTGTATAATAACGTCGTGATTGAAATAATATTAATATACATTTTAATAACAGATATTGAAATTACGACGAAATTGGAAATATGTTTTAGTAATAATATATACGCAAAGGCCGAATTATATATCGTCTAATATATTTGCACATACGCAACAGAATTTCTCTAATTTTTCAGACATAAATAGCAACTCTCAATGCAATTCGTTGCGAATTTTATTCAGATATATAATTTATTTTACGCTTATATATCCAAATCAATATGGATTTTTGACGCAGTTGCAAAATTTTAATGGCATCGTCCAATTCACTTTCAATTCTATCGCGGAATATATTTCCTTCGAGTTTCCTCGAGTTCAAAGAGTTTTCTGTTGCAATCCGGAAACCCGTTCCCGGAATTAAGAGATATTTTTACGTGGGCTTCCCCTCTTTCGCGGTTCTCCCTTATTTAGTTAATTTGGATTGATTTAGATATTCCCGATTGTGCGCTTTCACATGGTCGCTTTTATTACCGTTCTCGTTCAAATGATTTCGCCTTTGTACTCGGAACGCCGATAGAATTTAATTTGGACGCGAGCACAAATACGTTGGCAGTTAGCGAAATTTCATGTTGATATATTATATTTATAAGTAAAAGAAGAGAGAGAAAGAGAGAGAAAGGAAGAGTATATAATTGTGAAAGATGAAAAATCGCGTACAATTTTGAAAAAATAGGCTTGTTTCTATCTTTGAACAAGGAAATTTGCGTGTTTTTATCTATAGCTTATTACATTTATTTATAATACATTAAATTCGATATCGTTATTTGAATTTGTACGAGAGATATATACACAATTTCTCCAAGAATATAAAAAACGTTTGTTAATTTATAGTTTTTAATTGAAACAAACACAATGTGACTTTATTTCTACGCTAATTGGTGTTTATTCCGCATCTTTACATAACGCATTTCGTATCAAATAATGTCAGTCAAATCCCAGAGTTTTTGAATGCAAATTAATTGTTGAAATATTTGCAAGTTAAAAAGATTCTTTTCTATGAAATATGAAATTAAATATTAGTCTTTGTTCCATTATAAATAAAATCTAGAGTTAATTAACTTTTTTTAAAATAAAATCATGAAAAGGGCCAATCCTTCATTTATTTCACTATACTCGTGAAAAATCAACAAAATATTTTATAGAAAAAAGCCAGTTCAAAAATTAATACACGTCACTTATTCCGGGGATATTTTTAAAATGTTTAGACAGAATTAATTTTTCATAGTCAAAATAACTCGCTAACTAGTGTATCCTTTGTTTTTGACACGCATGCAATAACGAACAAACAAGCTCGAAAATGTT